AGGAGGAGATTGCACATTTTTCTTTCATGGAGCAGTTCGTGGATCCGAACCACGTGCCTTTGGGTTGGCCTCACAGCTCCTTACCATGAAACCATCAAAACAACTGAAATGCAGATCTACAGCCTTGGCGACTTTATGCAGATCTTCTCTGGCCTACAGGGTCACTATGGCTCAGAACTGCCTCAGTGGCAGTGGTTTTGGGTTTGGGGTTTGAGTTGTGATGTCCCCACAGACCTGCAGAGAAGTAGGCTTCTCAGTTTCTCCTGTCCCAGTTTGCCACTTCTTTTTCCTCCTCTGCATCTTTCATCCCAACTTTCCTGAAGCTCGCAAAGCTCACCAAAACTGGGCTCCTCTCTCTCACCCACTCCCACCAACTCCCCCACAGCACTCTTTCTTTGTTTCTTGTTACTTTGGTTTCTATGGAAACTTGTGTTTTGGGGGTGTGCTCTTCAGGACTTTCTTATGAGCAGATGGTTGGACTGGGACGCATGTAAGGAGAAAGGAAGCAGGCTAGGCAACACAAATTTTGGGAGGGAATGAGACATATGCAGGCAGATATCCCTGGGAAGCGTGTCAGGTACAGACTCCACGCTGGGCTCCTCTCACAGGTGCTTGGAGCAATGGCTCTGACTCACTTCCAAAGACACAGCAAAAGGTTCCACCTCCACCTGGGGCTTACCTCTGGGAGCACATTGAAAGGTTCCACCTGGGGCTTACCTCTGGGGGAACATCAAAAGGTTCCACCTCCACCTCAGTTGAGTTGGTTTTGTCTGAAGTCGGCTGAGACTTGGCATCATCAGCTTTGTCCCCCTTGTCCTTACTTGATCCTTTGGGAGCTTTGGAATCTTTGTCCTTGGAAGATAACTTGAGCCCCTTCAGGGCTTTGGAAAATTTAGACTCCTGGGCCCCTCCTGAGAGGATCTCCACAGCAATCTCCACCAGGATTCTGCCCCTGAATGACACGCCTTCCCCAAAGCCTTCATTCAGCTCCTGGTAATCATCTATCAGACTGTGATTCCTGGGCGAGCCGTACAGGTTAATCCACGCAGGTCCAAATGTAGGTAGAAAGCCTAAGAAGACCCCAAGACTTAGTTACATGGTTATGACTTTACACTTATTATTTTTTATGAATGTTGTGCACTCATTTTAAAATTGTACAATGCATAGAATATGTAAAAGAAAATAGTAACAGAATATTACATTGCATAAAGACAATCAAAATTGTCACTTTAAAATCCTTAGTGAGTAGTTACAGCACTCAGTTGCAAACCAAAAGGTCAGCAGTTTGAACCCACCAGTTGCCTCAATGGGGAAAGAAATGGAAATCTAATTATGCAAAGATTTACAATCTTAAAAATGACATAAGGAAGTTCTACTGTAACTTAGCAAACTCTAACTCATTGTCATCAAATTAGAAGCACTTCACAGTTGACCCTTCATTGGGTTCCTAAGCCTATAAATCACATGGGAGAAGATTCCTCGTCTTCCTCCTTTGGAGCTGCTGGTGGATTTGAACTGCCAGAAAGATGTGGCATTTGGACCACCAGAGTGAAAACTGACACAAGAGCAATGGGTGTAATCATTTTGCTGTTTTCCCTTCTCGTCTGTTTTTCCTATGTATGTTTATATCTGTTCACAGTTGTAACACTATACATTTCAGTGTGCAACCTTTTCTGCTCATTCATTCACTCAATGTTTATTGGATCCAATATGTCAGGGACCATGCTAGACAATAAATGTAGACTTTAGTCAAGAATAAAGAAGATTAAAAAAAAAGAAGAAGAAGAATAAAGCAGATACAGACATTCACTGATTCATGCCCTCCACTCACCTAACCTGGTTAGGTTAACTTCTTCATTCCCTCCCAGGCTCCCCAGGTGATGTCAGAAGCCCCTCTATGCTGTACTCATGCTTTTAGGTACCCAGCAGTGAGTTGGAACACAATACATTTTCAGATTACTTAAACATATGGAAATAATCTTTAACCCATGGGCCACACAAAAACATATGGCAGGGTAGATTGGCATGTGAAGGAATCTAAATGCCTCATTTTCAACTAAAACCCCTGAGGTACAAGAGGGCTTGGCCTCCTCCAATCATGCTGGAAGACCTGGAATGGAACCAGAGTTTTGCTCTGTCCACTGTTCTACACTCATGCCAAACCACTGATAGCACAAAAGACAGATGGTACATAGCATCCCCTGGCATTTTCAGGGTCTGGAAGCTAGGACACGTGCAATGCTTAAGTAGTGACACCAATGAGTACTTTCTATTCACCACTGCAGTTTCCCCTCGCCAACTGTGAGAGGTCATTCACCACGCTAAAACCTGTTGTCATCGGTGCTATTTTCCATAGGTACACCCATGCCTAAGAGCTTGCCTGCTCAAAATCAAAATCAGTCATTTCCAAATCAGATGCACATGAGTTCACCTTTATCGCCATCCTGCTCATTGGAGATCTTCTTCAAGTCAATGAAATGAGTGGCCAGTGTGACATCATTCATGCTGCCTTCGTCCCATACCTGGATTTTCACCCTCCGGCACAAAGGAGGAAACATTTCCTTGAAGACTACCTGTTCGTGCCACACAGGATCAGCACAGTTCTTCTGCACTGTGGTTCGACCCTAAAGACAAAGCCAGGAGGATGTGAGCCATGGAAAAGTGATCTTTGAGAGACTAAAGAAAACTTTCTGCCCAGATGGGTGTGTCAAAAAGAAAACCGTTTCCATCTGACACACCATGAAAAGCAATGATACCCAACGAACACCATTAGGAGATGGAATGATACAGGCATGAGTTCAAACAGCAAAGATTATAAGGATAGTACAGGACAAAACATTGTTTTGTTCTGATGTATTTAAAGTCATTATGAGTTTGATGCTATCCAAGGGTACCTAACAACAACAACAACACTGTGCTGGCAATGTTGCCAGCTCTCTGGGGGAAGTGTAAGACGTGTCCTTGGCCATGGGATTTTCATTAATACGGAGGATAGGAATGGAACAAATATTTGTATCTTGAACAGAAGTCATTCTCTGGACCCCTGGATGCAGAGAATAATACCATTGGACCCTAGTTTGTATTCTATGAGAATTGTGGCCTTGTATAAATTACATACCCATCTGTATCTCAGTTTCCTCATCATAAACTAAAGGTGATGCCCCATAAGATCTCTGAGGCACTCCCAAATATAAACTTCTGCAGTGGTCATCCTGTCTAGAGGAATGGACCAGGACACATCCTGATATCTGAGACAACATGAGTGTCGACTCATGCTTCCAATTCTGGCCAGTAAGGAGTAAGCTGATGACATATTCTCAGGACTCATGTTTTCAATGATTCTTAAGCAGGAGAACAGGGAACAGAGATTTCAAGGTTTACATATGTCATGAATTTAACTTTCCTCCTCCATAAAA